ACTTACCGTCATTGTTCCTGGATATCTCCGTACGAGTGCAGGCCGCACCACGCGGAAGGTTTAGCGCGTCCTTCCCGCCTCTTTCGAGAAAATTATACATGTTGCATGAATTCGAAGCAAAATTTCTGCACCACGTAATCCTTACAATGTACGGAAGGTGGAGGCTCTCTGAGCGCGTTAGAGGCGATAAACTTCGATAACGAGGAACGAGAAAATATCTTCAATTTCATGACTGTAGTACTACATTTTGTGCCTGTTACAATCCAAAACACGTACGTCATGACAGTCAAAATTTTCTGTCGCCATTTTGCATTCAAGACTCAGTTTGTAGAGCTAGTGCAAGCGCTATTCTCTCTTGGTCGAGAGTACGACGGTTAGGGCTTTGGCGAAGGGCCAATCACGGGCTCATCGCGTGGGAATGTCGAGTGCTAGTCGGTGCAATATGGTATACTAGAAAAAGTATTAGCTTTATTCTGCCTTGTGGATGTCTTTTCGGCTCTCAGTTAATCCATATCTCCCGCAGCTCCAAACCATGCCATACCTCGAATATACTATATTTTGTCTTCATATCTAGGACCAAACCTCCCTCGCCGCTACATGTTGTCAAACTTCTCAACTCGACAGAATTGATCAAAAGAATGTTTGACACTTTATCAGCATAACCATCGCAGGACGGTAGGGCTCTCCACGGCTTCTCAATGTCGGAACGTTGATGATGACAGCCAAATTTTCTGGGCTGAAAGCCCTTATTTTCTTTAAAAAACTTCCCGGTCTAAGGCTGGGTCTTGACGATCCTATCTCACCATATCTCCATTTTATAGATTGCGGCTCTCCACCTGATATAAAGCCACGGCGCTAAGACATCGCTGCTTTTTTGGAGTAAGTATTTTACGGAAGATATCACATCTACATGAGGTGTGTAAAGTGCTTCTGCTTTTTAGCAGAGGTAAATTTATGAAGCACTAAATTTGATATGGGAAACGTACTCGGTTCGAAATAACCTTGAATTTCCGTCGCCCCATTGCTTATAATTTTGAGCTGCACCGTACATAAGATGAGATCGTATCACAGATCTCGAGATGAAGAATTAAACAGCGTCTCCTGCTGCCAGAATTGCAGAGACAATGCGAACAAATTTTTTGACATCTTTCCGTCACAAGACGCGCGGAGATCCTGTCTATTCTTGGCAATGCCTCCGTTTCGCTTATGGAACGTGATTGCACGACGATTCTGAACCTATCGGTATATTCTAAGGCGATACAAAGGACGAGACGTTAATGCTGACAACGAGCAACTCTCAATTGCGAAAAGACCATTTTTCAGGAGAGTCACTCTCTTAGAGCTGAATTTCATTACCCTCTAGTTCAATTCAAGTACAGCGTTGTTGAGTAAAAACACATATTCTAAAAAACGAGAGCGCTTTTGCCGCAGGCCTGACACCGTGATAGTCTCGATAAAGATCATGCAATCATCCGAATTTATTTGCAAAGACACTGCTGGGGTATTTTGAGCAAGGCTTAGAAGGTGAAATCGGCTTAAAAGGCATAATTGGCAGTGAGCCGCGTGCGGTCTACAGAATGTGTCATGGATAAGATGGATATGCTGGCCCTAAGATGGTCGTCCTAGTAATCAGATCTGGCGAGCCGGCAAAGAGTGACTAAGTGTTGCAGCCTATATAATTTGATTCCGCACAGTCGTTTCAAAGCAGCATGGTGCCACTGTCTCCAGAGATAATCTGACACAGACCGGCAACTATAAGCCACGAGTAGATCGGTGAGGCTCTGATGTTATGATGAATGCCCATGATTTTATTCAGCTATACCGTGACGTACAGAGCATCGAAATTCCGCGGGATCTCGGCGATTTACGCGTGGCAAGAGTGAACAGGATGTCCTAGGGGGGATAAAAATACTCCAAGTAGACGCCGCCGGTAAGCTTGCGAAGTCATCTGTGCAATGATTCGCAAGATTGTGAGATCCGAGCTTGTACGGCTTACTGGATGAGGAGCTGAGCTCAACATTCGTCATGGATAAGTCCGTCACCGAAAAAACTGACAGAGCACTCAGTATGAAGAGTATGGTGGATATTATCGAGCAATCTATATATCCACTACATCTTTGCGGAATAAATATCACCACGTGGTGGCGCGATATTTTGCGCGCTAACAAATTCCAACACATGCAATATTTACGTTCCATAGGACTTAGTTGGGGCCTCGCTAGATTGTATCTTTCATGAGTGCAGCTCGGAGAAGTCTGGGTTGCACTCGCAATATTTCAGAAGGAGTGCAAAAATATCCTGGGCTTGATGTTAGATTACTACAGCTGCATCATGGCGCTACCCTCACGGATCATTCAAATGCGAAGCATTCGATCATGGATATTACTTTATCAAAACATGTTGTCTCGGCCTTTTCCTGTAGTGGAGTCAGCTTGCTCCAGAGAAACTATCTGGTTCTGAATCGTTTGGGATGCACAAAGTTGATTGAGACGATTCTGCTGCTTATAAAACGCGTCCGGAAAGTGTTTTCATTTGTATGCCCGATTTTACTACATTTTACGCATTGTTTACGACCTCGTGCACCGGGGTGATTAAACACCATTGGTCTCCCAAACAATATGATCGTAATATATTTCTTAAAGTTCAAGAGACACTGATATGAGTACTGTTAGGCGCCAGTGTACCAAAATCTCTGATTCAGTCCGGTAGGTGTCTAATTCGCCCAGCTCAAACTTAGCAGATATGCTCGCTGCAGGCACGCCTTGATCCGCCCTGTCCCCGCGAACATTGTAATATTGCAAATGTTTACCTCGTATTGCCGCTGAGGTAGCTCACGCGATTTGTCCTGTTGTCTCGTCCATACTAAAATTATGGACATTTGAGCGACGGAATATACTTCTGTTGTGTGGAAGTTGTAAACTTTGACATTGACGAGCTGTGGCTCGGCCGGAAAGTAGAAATTACCACCTCGTTGAACATGATTGTATCTGATTTTTCTGACTGGACTGAGTTTTGCGTAGCTCCGGCGTATGGATGCGCATTGCTTCCGTTGCTATCAGAATGCCCCCTTGATTAGCTTGTGTGACAGCCATCGTGAATACCTGTTTCACTAGTAGCTGCGGTAGAAGCTCTTCTTCGACCTGAGTTTGAATTGCTCGAGGCAAACGTTCTTCAAAGTCACGAATATTTTTAGGAAGTTTGGTATTCAACGACAAAAGATCGTCCCTTCAGTCTTTCTCCGATATTTCCAATTATCTGGAGTTCCGAAACGGAGTTGTCTGCCCGTGGTAGCTGGCGCTGGCTTTTACACAGCTCTCGAATTCACTCAATGTATTGCCGATTTTACATGGCCGGATTATTATGAAGTCCGGTATCTTGCTACGTTTGACGTCGTTTCTTGTATATCCGTTTTAGGCTAATCTGTTGCTTAAGCTTTTGCTGCCTAATGATTGAGTCATTTGGCATTAGTCCGCTTTACCATACTGGATATGATTATCCGATCTTCTTATTGTTTGCAGTTTTGAGGTAGCTACAATTGCGTTGTGCTTCCAGTACTCATACAGAACACTTGTTAGTACACAAGTTCCCGGAAACATCTTGAACAATAAGGTCTTCTCACCACTATTTAACTTGGGTATCTCCAATTTATGGATAACATTTAGTCCTCATATAGTTTTACTATGCCATGGGCGATGTTAAACAGCTGGCGGATCGTCATAATCCACAGTTTTTGGCTAATGGCTGTCCGCCTTTTTCAATTACACTTTTGCCTCGAACATTTACCTGCGCGCCACGTTAAGAGCTACTCGACTATCGTCATCATACTTAATTTTTTTTTCGACGCTACTTATTCTCGTTGCTGCTCGACTATATTGCATTTCTATGAGCTGCTGATTCTTCTTCATCGCGATATACTTCCTGCCAGCCTTGGCAATCTCGTACTTCTTGTGATTATAGTTGTTAGTTGCCTTTATGGTTTCCATTTTTATAGCTGCTGCATTTCTGGTACTGTAACGGGGTCACACATGCACTTGTGAGAAAGGGCGCGTCGCACAAGGTTGTGCGACCGTACATAGGTGTGAAATACACAATTAGAATAACAACACAGTCGTGAGGCTACACCGTAACAAGAAGCCACCACGTGACAGGATTGCCAGAAGTAATGCATATTACTATATTAATCAGGTTTTGCTGTATTAATTAGGTATTACTATATGAATTAGAGAAAACCTAGGGTTTTAGATAACGGCGGCTCTGTCGCAGCTAAAACAAATACATACAGTCTCAATTTTGAACAGAAGTGTTCGTTTGCCTTGTTGAGGCTTTAGTACTTAGAGGTAGCGGATTGCGATCCGCTAAACTCGTACTGGTTCTTAGCTTAGCTTTCTCTAAACAAAGAACTACGGCAGCCCCGCTGCACTTGGTAGCACTCGTAGTCAATCTACCCCTGAGTCGTTTCGACTGATTTTCTGTGAGGATGGAAATATACTCCTATTTCCCCAGTGCATGCAGGACGAGCTCAATAAGCTGATGTCTCTGCTGTGTCCTGAGGACGTGGAACACCTTGTTGCGCAAGGGCCCTGGGCACTTAGCGCATACCTAGAGGTTTCTCGAACTATAAAAACACTTTGTTAGAGCATTTACAGCCGAAGCTTTCAGCGTCGACGAAGGATGATTCCTCCTGACCCGGGCCGCTCATGGTGAGCGTGAAGACTTTTGAGGGGAAGGATGGCGTGGGAGGCCGAGATGACTATGGCATCCGCTATGTTCCAAAATGAGCAACAGCGCGTGACGCTAGCTATCTCCAAGCCCGATCGCCGAGCGCGATAATGGACACCAACGTGCGGTGCTCTGGTTGAAGCTGCGTTCCCGTCTTGGATGGAGCGGAAGTGTCAGCATATGCGAGTGTTCTCGCCACCTGATCAGGCATACCTCGTGAGATCGCATTTTCTTGCTGCCCGATAAGGCAAGAAGGAGTTGGCAGACTTTGTCCAAGAGTTAAGAACTCCTATTGCCGGGATGGCAGCAGATCCTCTTCCTGAGGCGGTCGCAGTGATCGTCTTTATGGAGGGCCTCCGCACTGGCGTCGCTAAAATTGAAGTTTTCTGCTAGCATCCGTCTGCTTTTAAAGAAGCGGTGAACGCGGCATTGAATGCCGAATTCTATTCAAGTCGGCACGACTTGTTTGGAATGTACACCATCAGAGCTCGTCAATAGGGCTTGAGCCAATGGATCTTAGCTATAGTAGAAGGAGGAGGGAGACCTCCGAGCTGGTGTTTGTTCTTGGAGACAAACGTCACCTTCGGACTGGTTGTCCCTTGCGCAAGGCGCGTAAAGATTTGTCAAACCGACGTCCCACCTCTAACCAATCTGGTTTGACGCGCGGAAACAAAATAGCCCAGCAGGCACAGGGCGCCCTGCTGGGGAAGAGCTGAGTCTCGAGCCTCAAAGTAGAGGGCAGCAGAACGCAACCCTGAAGAACTGCGTGCTCTTAAACACGGAACGTATGTGCAAGCCGGGCTTGCTGGTCGTAATAGCGACCGCGAAGTGCTTTGAAAAATCATGGAAAATCCTTATCGATTCCGAGGCGTAGGGCAATTATGCTCGACGCTCCACGATTGAAGGAAGTCAGCTGGAAGTGCGGTTGAGTGACACCGTCACTATTCGTTTAGCGACGGGGACTTGTGTCACTGTGCCGAGGGTCCCTGTGGACCTCGGTGTCGAGTTCTTTGACTTTGATAGCGTGGAACGTTATTTAATCTTAGACTTGGATGCAGAGTACGACCTCATTCCGTCTATACCAACATCCTACTTATAAATTTATCCTTGGCATGGCGTGGTTGGAACACCAAGAGCCATAGATTGATTGGAAGCAGAAGACCTTAGGCGCTATGCGCAGATCTCCTATTGGTGCTTTGGTGAGTCATGAACCCACCTATGCTAGGAAGCTGAAGTGCTATTGGTGCGGGACCGGAACGGTCAATGTGCTAGATATCGGAGTAATCGAGTTGCCGAACACCATAAGATTTTGGACAAGAGTCCCGAGCGTCGCCGCGGGTTGAACATGGAGTGGCACGTAACCCACTGAGCGCTGCCCAAGTATTGAAGCAGTCGCTGCATGCCAAGAGTGTCATGGTCGTCCAAGGTCCAAGGCATCAGTAGCGAGGCTTTCGTGACGTACGTGGAGTGGCACGTAACCCACTGAGCACTGCTCATGTTACAAAGCAGTTGCTGCGTGCCAAGAATGGAATGGTCGGAAGAGGTTCGAGGCAATATGGGCGAGGCCCTTGTAATGCGCGTGCAGTGGCACGTAATCCACTGAGCACTGCTCATGTTTTGAATCAGTTGCTGCATGCCAAGAGTGGCATGCCGGACGAGGTCCGAGGCATCCTGGGCAAGGCCCTTCTGTTTGCACGTTATCCACTGGACGAAGATTGCAAAAATAGCAACTTTTCGTCGAATGCTGTTAATCACATCAAGGCTCCGATGGAGTAGAGAGTGGGGACACTGGACGACGCTGAGTGCGTGATCCACTGGTCTCGACGAGACGAACACCTCCATAGGGATGAGACGGCGATGTTGTACAATATCTGCAAGACGCAAGGCATCGACCCTACCCAGGGTGTTTCTACCGTTTATGATAGCGCACAGCAATTCGCCGTTGTCAACTGTCTGACGGGAGAGAAAGACGGTGACGTCACCCTCGAGTTTATTTCCGCGGTGGATGGTCTTCATAAGCTGGGCAAGATGTACTTCGAAGATTTGGCGGCGCCTTGAAGGCAGGCAATGTAGCCGAGGTGGTCATTATAAGAGGAGATTAACTCGTCGTCGCTTCTGGGTGAAGCTGTTCTAGAGGACACTAAGAAGGTGCTGAACGCGCGAAGTGGATCGTCGATCCTGAAGGATCCTCCGGGTCCAAACTTTCCGTTGGTAAAGGAATTCCAAGACGTCATCTTTAAAGACCCGCCGTCGGTGCTACCTCCGGACCGAGGTGTGCGTCATGAGATTGACCTGGTTTTGGAAACCAAATACTGCGTAACACGCCAATGGTCCCTGCCCAAGGAGTAGTGTATGTCTTTTCCGTGCGAAGCACGAGGCAGGAATGGTGCGTGAGATCAAGTCTCCCTATTCGAGTCCCACATTTTGTGTCCGGAAGCCGAACGACAAGTGACGTATCGTTCACGCTTATACCAAGCTAAACGCTGCTATCATTCAGGCACAAACGCCAATTTTAGAAAAGGATGTTCTTCAGACCAATATGGTTGGCTGTACAAAGTACAGCGCACTCAACTTGGTCGATGTTTATTACCAATTGCTCATGCGAGTGATATTCCACTGACAGCAGTCAGTACTCCGGGCGGTATGCTATGGGAGTTGCTGGTGATGCCCCAAAGGTTGTCAAATGCACCAGCAACATTCAATCGTCTTGTGACACAATTGTTTAGGACGTATGCACAGACATACTTTGACGACATCTTCGTCCACAGTTGTGCGGGGCACGGGACGACAGATGAGGAAAACCACATCGTCCATTTGAGAGCGGTACTCGAGTGCATACCCATGAATAAGCTGTATGCTAATGCGAATAATTGCATCTTCGGCGCGGAAAAAAAAATATTTTTCGTGGCCTTCGAGCGGATCACGCGAAGGACAAGGCCATTGTTAACTGACTGGCTTCAAATGATCAAAACGATTTGCGCAAGCGGCTTGGCCTCGCTATCTATTTGCACAAGTATTGCGCAAATTATGCAGGAGATAGCACGACCATTCTATAACTTTCTTAAGAAGGATAAGAAATGTTGTTGGGACACCGAACATCGGGAGGCTTTTGACAAGGTGTAAGACAGCCTCCTTCATGCTCCAAAACTGGCGTTGCCAGACCCCGATCGTCCTCTTGGTGTAGTCTGACGCTTCGGACATTGCCATTGGCTGTGCACTGCTGCAAGCAGATGCCGAGGGGCGAGATTGGGCGATCGCGTTTGAATC